GCCCTGCCTGCATCTCTCAGCTTCTCTCATCCATCCACCTGCTTCATCTAAACTCCTACCCAAATCATGCCAGTATTCAGCCCCGACTGAGAGCAAAACTCACAGATATAAGGCAGGAAAATTATGAATCAACATTTATTGATGATATATACAGAAGAGGTACAACACTTAGTGAAATATTATATTCGCGACTATTTCCAGTATAGAAAGAATGTCCAGTTTGTTTTATACATGAAAGTTACAGAAATCAGTTCACACTGTAAGAAAGCATTAAAACCAAATGACTACAGATAAGTGTAAAGGTCTGAACTACAAAAATAGAATTAGTCTACAAAGCATTCCAGCTACAATATACAAGAACAAAGCCCGGAGTTGGGAAAAATTTTATCATCTGCATTCATTAGTTAATAACGTGTGCTATAGTTACTGTACAGTATGTTTCAAAATCTGGGGAACTTCTTGAGAGTAACAAAAAGAACCAATCCCATTCCTATTGCTTTTTGTTCCTTTCAGGTGAAACATATGAAAATATTCCATCTCGTGACTCTCCTCCACTTTTAAGAGAAGGCAAAGGGTATCAGCAGCAGGAGCAGGCGGTGCGTCGTCCCGTACATTGTGATTCACACTGAAACACCGTAGGAGGACTCACCAAGAAGGATACTTCCTGTGCTTTGGGACTTGATTTTGATCACTTTCCACTTAATGGGGCAAGAACATATTTATGAGAACCAGGCTCAGGTACCTTGGGCATGAACCAGCTTTTGTTTGCTTTCCCACCCAAACTCTTTCAGAACCACCTTCATCTTCCGCCCCAGAAAAGTCACCTTCTTACAGATCTCAATCATAGCTCTTAGTTCTGAAGAATTTTGCCACTGAATACATAGTTCATATGTCTGCTGTATGATCAGACCTACTTGTTGTAAAAAACAGTCCCCTGGACCTCAACCACAGTGGTTCAAGAAGCACTTAGCTCTGCACTTATTTCCAGCAGTATTTTCTAGCATATTTTCCTATCAGTATCCTTTTCAAACAATGTCAGAAGCAGTGGATCCTTGCCCATCAGTCACACACTGCACAGGTAGCAGAGAGGGCACCTAGCAGGAAAAAATGGCTTTCCCCTTGCTCATTGTGCTAATTTAAACAGTGACTTACTGAACTTCTGGTGCTAGAGTCCCAACGTGTCAAGCAAACAAGAAGAAAAAAACAACAAAAAAAACGAATCACTCCATGTGTGCATTAGTTCTTAGTGTCATAACAAGTGCACTCTTGAGCCAGCACATTGATGCTGCATCACTTTCTCTCACTACCAGGGAAACACACACATGCGGGTACTGACACGTACCATGTCAGTTAGAGAGCTGAAAACTAGAACATATTTACAATAAGTTGGCTGCATACATTATTCTGAATGTTATCAGAACAGGATAGTTCATAATCAACCGATAAAGCAGCTACTAAGCTATGAAACTGACTCAGTTGAATGGCCAGAAGGAGAACAAAGCCAGACAAAAGAACAAAACCCAAAAGTAGAACAGAAATTTGAAAGTCAGCCTAATTTCCTACTATGGCTCAGTACACAATGACCAATTAAATTAAATTAATGCACCACTACCCATACTGTACACACCATTTCACTGAAATTACACATTGATAGCTACATTATCTACACTAAGTGCAGAGAGGCACTGGACATCATGCTTCAACAAAATGTCAAAACTGGTAACAATAAGGTTTTACAGCTATTTGAACTATTCTACCTGCAGTTTTTATTAATACCTGGTACAAGTGATCTAAAGTACAAGAAAGAGATTATAATACAAGGGTACATCAACACACTTCCTACATGTCTATCTACTAGAAATTTAGTCTCCAAAACCTCAGCAGAATAACACAGACCCACAGAGTTCTGAATAAGTGGTGAGATAGCCAGTATCAGTTACACTGGGACAGTAGTATTTGCTATTCGATGTTTTGCTTTGAATCAAGGAGCTAGCTGGCCATAAAGAAAACTACACGTGATACAATTGTTATTAATACTTATATATATATATATTTTATTCCACTCCAAACAGTTCTTTGTTCGGTAAATAAAAATAATTGTAGCCATGGCCTTAAATGCCAACAGGTGTTTGTCTAACGGGAACAGACAGTAGTAAAAGAGAAGAAATTTCCACTTGTCCTAATCAAAAAATATAGTGTCTGATCTCTTTAAAGACATAAGAAAGCAGGAGGTATTTCTATGGATGCTACCCAATTGCATTGGTCCCATGGTGGTTTTGTTGGTCCCCTTTCAAGAAGGCAAAGATAGGTGGCCAAGTCATGAAGTCTTTCTGCAGGCTGAACTCATGTACATTGTACTGTAGCACGATGGACTGGGTACCTATTTTTTGCCTACCCAGATGTCCAGTTTTCTTTAATCAGTAGTATGAGTCAGTCAGTTATACATGATCAGGTCCTAAGAAAAATCTGCAGGATTTGGCAAAGGTAACACCAGGAAAAATGACAAAAATGAGGGGCAATTGCCCAAGACAGTCAATCTAGAAGATTGTTCAGGTTATTATAACATTGTTCCATAATGAACTGCAGCATTTGAGGACATCTTGAAATTCCTATTTGCTTCTTGCATTTTGTGCTTTGTTTATAATTCATCACTAAGCATATCACAGAAATATTTCATTGATCCTAAATGTTATGAGAAAACTGGTTTTGTTCTAAGATCAGCTTTAAAGGACTACCCTCCTATCTATCATACAAGGTCATATAGAAAATATTATAAGAAAATATTAGAGTCTGTAAATTACAGATACTAGGTAATTTAGTTCAGTCTACACTGTAGTTTCCAGAGAACAAGTACAAACCCCTAAAGTCTATATTAATAACTGAATCAGTACTGAGTATAGTGTATTTAACAATATAAATACATATGCAGCTTTTTCTCATGCATTCTACAAACTACAGTTCACACCGGACCATAGGAAATGGGCTATAATTAAGAAAGGGGCAGGATATGTTGGCTGGGAATGTATGCAATTGTCTTTAAGAAGGAAGGACAACCTGTAGTACACAAGGACTCACAAGCCCATGCATAACACCAAAATGGACATGCCACAATCTACAATACTGACTGCAAAATCAATTTGTAAACACAGTTTGCATACAGTCTTTTAAAAACTGTAGAAAAGAAATAGAAAAGAAAGATACAAAAATCCCTGCACGCTACCCTATACTATTTATGTACATAACGATATACAGGTACCAGACAATCCAGGTTGTGCGATGCTGTCTATGACAGTTTCCCTTCATGTAATGGTGTATGCCACAAAGTGTCATTAAAAACAATTGCAGGGCTCCTGAATTTTGAACAATCATACTAGAAGGATTGGATGCTGCGGCATCCAGCAGCATCGGCTCCGTAGCAAAACACCGATAGAGATGAAAGGGGATCAAGGTTTGGGTGAAGCAAGAAATCTCACAAGTCTTCCTGCTTCTCCAAATCCGGTGTTAGTTTGTTGGCTGTTTCCATCTTGGGCTAGTAGAGACCTACTCAGTGACTCAGTCATATGCTCTAGGATTTTTTCATGTTCAGAGTAGGGGTTTTCTGTAAGAACTCTAGCTGCAAAAGCACAACCACCTTACCCATCAGCATTTGTATTGACTCAGTAATGGGAAGCCACCGAGTCTCCCCCAGCCAGGGGAGCTATTTCTGGGATGGTGGGCACAGCCGAGGAAGAGCACAGAGCCCTGTACCAGGGAGCCCATTCATAAGAGAAAGGGAATTATCAGCACCTGGGCATCAGCAGTTCAGCTCATTCATAGCAGCAGATTTCAATTTAATATCAGACATGATTAGAAGGAAAAAATGAGGGAGGCAATCCTTGTGCAGCATAAAGCATTGAGTCCTGCCATAGGCATGCAGAACTGGAGCCTGTGCTTTTCTGAGGCTTACAGAAAGCTGTCTGTGGGGAGGTAAGATCAATGACTTTCAAAGGAAAATTGACTTAATACAGTGTTTTAGGTAAATTTTGAACTAGAACATAACACTTAAAAATAAGGTGGTAAAGCTGGACTGCCCTTTTTACACTTCAGCATTCTAATTCCTTTCCTCCCCAACACTCGATGCCATCCTCTATTTCCAGTTATTCAGTCAATGGAAATTGGGTAAATATTTTTCCCTCAAAGTCATTGATATGATTGGAGAAAAGAAAATAACTCTTCATTCAGAGAGTGTTTTCTAGCAGGAGCGGGACTGCCCATGCACTCCTATGCAGGGAAGAAAGCACAACAGCCACGCTGAGCTACACCACTACAATGATTAATATGAAAAATATCTTAATGGGGTCCTTACAAGTCACAGTAATAAAATTGAGGGTAGTCTCTGGCTCATAACAGACTAATATTACAGTACATTTTTATAAAGTGCCCTTATTTAGCCTTCTGTAAATTAATCCAAATGCAGCAATAATAGACTAATGGAGATAATAAAATGAGAAACAGTTACACCTCCACAATAGGATTTCTCTGAGCCTGGTACTAAAGCTCAGAGCCTTTTAAAACTTATTTACAGAAGTGAATGTCAGAGGTAAGATTTAATACTGCCTATGTTTAGGGGGATTTGTGCGATCACTGCTGTGTTGCTACAACAAGGCTGCAACAACACAAGAGAAGGCGAGGAAACAAAGACAATCCAGACAGTTGCCAGAACAAATTTGTTCAAACACTGCTGCTGCGGTTTCTCATATGAACAGTCGGTTCTTTTGAGTATCAGCTACCAGAAATGTCATGGCACTGGCAGCGCTGGAAAACAAATCAGAAATCCATACTACTTTTACTTCCACGTGCCTTTTAAAGTAGCACATGGAATTCCATGTGCTTTGAGAAAGAAATGAAGGTTCGCAGTGTCTCAGGGAAAGAACAGAATTTTCTTAATGACATTAATGACAGTGATCCTTATTTATGTGCTGAGTTTTAAACTCAGTGTTGGATTTGTAGTATAAAGATAATTAGGAAAAAAAGAAGCATCTTAACAAAAACTTTGAGAACGTGAGAATCACCTTCATCTTAAGCAGCAGACAAAAACTGTTGCTTCTGATGGGATTGTGAAATCCCTTAGTACTTAGCAGAGACAGGAAGAGACTTGACCTTTCCTGGAAGCCCGTGATTCCCCTGGATTTCAGTGGAACTTTCATGCAGCCAGAACATTGCCGGCACAGGTTTTACTACAGCAAGCATAGTTTTTCAAAGACGTAACGAGTTTCTCACCAATTCAAATGGAAGAAGCACACTTCATATCATGGCTCACATGGCTTGTGCCCTACCTATCTAAAGCACACGTGTGGGAGCCACATGTGTTTCTCACAGTGCTGGTGCAGCCTTTGTTTTCTAAGGGAAGAAATGAAGAAAAAAACTGCAGGAAAGCGTTCCACTTTTTTAGCTTTAACGTGTGGTGTGCTTTAGTTTCAGTGAATGGATATCAAGAGAATGCTGACCTAGCTTCAGCAGCGAATGCACAAAGTAAAGGCATAAGTATTTAATTAAGCATGCAATTAACTGACTCTTCACCTGGTTTAGACCTCTCCATGTGCCAGTGCACTGTCAGCAATGCAGAGGGCAAAGGATATCACGGCTGCACAGATCACCAGGAGCTGACAGAGAAGCACACAGGGTGAGCATTGGAAAGAAATGTTAATTTCTCCAGGAGCTGCATGGAACGCTAATCACTTTCTACTGTGTTTTTCTTTTAACATTGCCACCCCAGCCCTGGAAACAAACGCAAAAGGTTTGCCACATGCAAATGTATTCATCAACACCTTCTAGTGAAACTAAAAAGAGAGAGGTCAGTGGTCAGCCCTGCCTGCTGAAATGTGAACTTGCATTAGCTGAAGTGGCCAGTCCCTGGGTTAGTTTCTGTTTATTTAGTTAAGTAGCAACCCAGCCTCATGTGGAATGAGCAAATCGAGAAATGCAAGCCAAGAGTGAGTTACATTTTCCCAGCAAAATGGAAAGCTTTTGATGGTTAAACACAGTGCTGTGCTGGAGTAACACTATATTAAATATTCAGCCAGGGTAAAAGCAGAGAAGTTTACCAAAAACAACATTTCTCCTTCTCCCACATCCACATTTAAGTAGAGAAATGCGATTGCAATTATTTCTTGAAACATCCCTGAGTTACTGTATCTACAGAATCACTATTTTAAAATCACAGCCTACTATTCCAGTCCTGTCAAAAGGCCCACATTTATTTTCCCTTGTGTGGGTGGAGTTTCTCTAGCATCTCATTCCTTCCTCCCCTAGTCTCCATCCGAAGAATCACTCTTCAAAAGACAGCACGTCCCAAGCGGATATGCGTAAGCACATTGTAAGTGTTTCTCAATATGCAATTTTGAGGAGCTGCCCAGTCGCACATTGCTGGCATCCCTTTTTGTTTCCAACCACCGAACACTTTCAAAATACAGCTAAAAGTCTATGGACTGGTTTTCCAAATTCACTCGCAAGACCTGTGGTTGCTGTGGCTGCTCTTAAGAGCAGGCCATCGTGCAGGCATCTGGGCCGGGCTGCCAGGTGCTGCCCCTTGTTCACCACTGCCCTAACCAGCCACAAATATGGCGTCTTGCTCTCAGGCAGGCCCGTCACTCCAGTGTCAGCAAGCTGCTCGCAGCACAGGCCTGCTCCCTCACAGGAGGGAAGGCTTTGGTGCATCTGCAGGCCTCCCCAGGCACCTCTCTGGCACTTAATCCACAAGTAACTTTGTTCTTGCCTGCAGACTAAGGCCCCAATCCCGAGATAATCTTAATACCCAGACATTCTGTTCAACACAAACACAGCAAAGTCAGTGACCTTCTGCTTCCTTCCCTTGCCATCACAAATGCACTTTCTTAAAGTATTCGCATCGGTTCTCTTATGTATTCAGAGAAGCAGCAACTGAAGGTTAGTTCTGGTTATTTTGATATCAGTGACCAAAGAAAAGAGAAGACCACCTGCCTACCACTTCTCTGGATATTCTACTGTTCTATACATCACAAAAAACATCCTTAAGATGATTCACAAGACCTCTAGAAAAGGTACCCACCTCTAATACATATTAGAGGCCTATAGAATTCACAGTGGTTCTATACTTGCTAGATTATTCAAGCTGACTTGCTTAGGATCATTGTGATGAATTGTGAGGACAAAATACAAGGACAAAAAAAATATTCCACACCAAGGAATGCATGACAAGGGGTGCTCTGACAGTGAACTTCGACTTGCACATAATTCAGAATGTGAGCAGCTTTTTCAGAGGTCTTTATATGAATGCAGAGGAGCAAAAGCACATTATATTTATATTCTAATAGCTTCTGTAGAGCCAAATACCACTTCACAGTTAAACGCGCAACTTCTGCTTACACCTACAACAGGTCTTGAGCACAGATGCTGAATGGCCCCATCTCTAAATTCAGCTCTTTTCTCTGCCATTTCTAAGCTCACCATACCTGAGAACCCCTGAGAGTTCTCCCAGACCTTGCATAGGGCCTACTCTGTGGGTTCAGCCTCACAGGGCCCACCTGGCTCAGCTTTGCTATAGAACATGGTTAGTAGTAGAGAGGCGTTCACCAGAGTCTCAAAATTGCAGAATATTAACAAGCACCTTTAAAAACACAAGGTGATTATTGTGACTGCAATTTCTTCTGATAGGATGAATAAGCTATAGTATGTTGACAAAACACCATCTTTCTAATGCAGATGCTATGTGCTCTTAGAAACTTTTCTGAAAGAGATTTATATGAATCATTACTCTGCAAAAGAGAGAAAGACAGAACTATATTCAATGCATTGGTCTAAATCCTGTAACTCTAGTTTATTCTTCATGAATCCAAACCTTGGCCAAATTCTAGTAACCTTAACCAGGAATTTGGCTTAGTAATAATTTTAGGATTTAGTCATTCTATGACATATGACATGTTTGGAAGACACACTTCATGCCACTGATGGTTACATTCAAAACCTCCAATTACTTAGTGTAATATACTCAGAATTTGTTTACAGAGCATTATCAAGTACCCTGTCATGACATCCTTGCTCACATTCAGTAGTATCTTATTTGAGTAGCCCCTTCCCCATGAAGACTCCCTCTGACATCAGTGGAGTAGGGTGACTAGTAAGGTGCTACCTACTTTGATTAAGAATGACATAATTGAGCCCATGGTGCTCTATATTTTGTACAGCTGGCATGGATTTAAAAATTATCACCCCTGCAATAATACTGCCTTGTGTTATGTGATGCACTGTGGTCACAATAAAATGTGATCTAATAAAATGGGGGTGGCATCTGCCCTGGACAGCTGATAAAAATACATCGCATGCACATGCAAATCTAAGGTCTTAATGCCAAATATTAATTGTACTAGTCTAACAAAAGGTCTGGGATCATTTATTGACTTCCACATATTAATCTCGCCCCTGGATCTCAGTTCTGTTTAAAGTACAACTAGGCACAAAAATTCAGTGCTTCCCATGTCAGGAGCTTATTATTATTGTAACAAATAGAAAACTTTATGGACACTTTCAAAAGCTGTTTCAGCCATACAGTGCTAACTAGATCAATTATGCCACAAGAGTCATTGAATCACTAGAAGGCTTGTATGAAGTTATATATTTCTGTAACTATTTGTGACCCTGAGTCCCTTTAGTGAGCCGTACTGGCATTATGATCTTTCCATTTTGCAGCATTTACATTCTCTGTGTCTTGAATGAACGGGAAGGCAGGTGAGAACACATCACACTGCATGGAGTATTCTTCAGCTGCATTGTCCAAACAGTAACACAAGGGAGACAGATGGTTATGGATCACTGTTTGGCAAAGACACTACATTGACTATATGAGATCTTTGCTAAGTTTCAGTTAAGAAATTAAGCAGAAACTGTAGATGTTAAAAAAAAAAAAAAAAAAGAGAGAGAGAGAGAGAAATCTTCCTTAATCGTGATATCTTTTACCAGAAGAAAGCTTCAGGATTTATTAAAGATGGAGCTGGGAATCTCTTCCCTTAGTTTTCACGTTTCCAAGGCTCTTCTTCAACATTGATGTCTGCGGATTTGCCATTGGTTGCCAGTGTTACCTGCAAGTAATTATCATCAACAACTGACTTAAAGGCCAAGGCACTTTGACAAGAAAAGTTATGACTTTTATAAGGAAGATCATGATATTTACAGGAACTAGATACACCGTGTCTTATTATATATGTAAAATATATTTATTCAGAATTCACAACACTCACAAATAGTGAGATTCCTGTTAATTTTATATGCTGACAAGAAAACACTAACAGTAGAAAAAATGTTTCCTATTTTCTTGGCCTTTGTTGTAGTTTTGTTTTTAGTAACTTTCAGTTTATACTCCTATTGTCTATACATTTTTTTTCTGGGTTATTTAAGCAACAGATTGCTTTGTTTGTTTGTTTCGATCTAGGAAGTTGTACTTTTTAGAACTCCTTCACAGAGCAAGATGGCTGATGTAAAGACACAAAAAATGTACAAGGCCAGAATAATTACAGATATGTATCTATACAATCTCATCTACAATTACACCAGCTTTAAAGAAAAGGAGCAAAAGTTACGCTGTGATAGCATTGTTCATTGTATCATTATTTCCTATAGTGTAGTAAAACTTTATGGCTATGGTCAGACCAAAAATCCATAGTAATGCTACTTTTGTCTTATACAAATTACAGCACATAGCTTTTGCCCATAAAGATCTGTGCTATATTTTGTTTATTTTATAGTATGGTAAAAGACCTACAGTGATCTACCAACTCACAGTGAACAGTGGCCAATAGGTTGCATCCCAGAAAGAGGTATAAATAAACCCATGCTTCAATAAAGGTAGCTCCAGACAAATGACTTTTAAAAAATGAAGAAAAAAAAAGGTAAAATGTTGGCTTAACTTTATAAAAATGATCTAGATCTTTATAACTGCGAGATAACCTTTCTTTTAATGTCAAATGGATAGCTTAATCTTTCCTAACTTACCTTGTAAAATAACATCCTCAGCTTCAAATGAAAACTTAAAGACAGAGATGAAATTCCCCATGCTGGATAAACTGGATGCATGGAAGCATTGGGACATGGAAACATGACAAAATGCACTGATTTTGAAATGAAGTCAAGCTTTTTCTTAGATAATGAAAGGGGAAAACATGCAAGTACAGGAATGAACAGCTTATTCAGACATTAAAATCACATCAAGTCATTCATGAGAAATAATAAAAAAATACAAAAACATCCACTCTACCCCCATGCAAAGGTACACTACTTATTAAAAATGTACATTGACCATGCAAAATTATAAACTAGTAGTACAATACATGGAGTATACTACAGACTGTAAATAGAAAGCACATGCTAGCAGATTAGCTTTTTAAAACTCCAACCAGAGTTACAGTGAACTTTTCACTCCACCAGTACATTTGACAGGATGAAAAGAAGTCATTTCAGATTTAACAAACAGCTATTTTGGATCCCCAAATCCTATACTCTTTTGCTTTTGATACTCTAACACTTAGGAGCTGTAGACCACTTCAACATCCAAGTCCTTTGCAAATGTCAGGATATGTTCATAGCTTATAAACTGGACATAACACCACATCCTCTTGGCAGCTTGCAGACAGACAAGTGACCCACTCAAAGTCAGTCTTATGCCCTATCCAGTAAACCCTGGCTCTGCTCATGAATTTAAAAGTGCAAAGTTAAAGCCCATAAAACAATTTAAAAAAAAAAAAAAAAAGGGCAAAATACTTCATAAGTTACTGGTCCCAGATTTCTACTAAAGAGCATACTTAGGATGTTATACTGCATCATGAGTCCATGTCTTTAAGGTAAAATAATAACTCAACTGATGGGAATCAGAAGAGAAACTGAAGGAGAAAAGAAAGTACAGTAAATACTGTATCAAAGGGTGATTACTTTCTAGCTTGGCTTGGATCTCTGAGAGATGGAAAGAAGTATTCAAGTCCATCAGCCTGATTCAGAATGATCAATAATAATTCAATATTACTTTGTCCACTAGAAATTTAGGTTTGGCCTGATGTTATCTAGAAGTAAGCATTTGAAAAAAAGGGTATTCTAAAGAACGTTTCCAGACAGGCCACAGGCAGGTGAAAGTGCTAGCAGAGAACTTTATCTACAGTCTATGTGGTGATCTGCTAAAGGACTTATTGTAAGCATTCAAAGCATTCACAGTTAGATACTGGCTCAGTTGTGGCATCTGAAAGATGCAAGAGAATCTTCTTGGATAAATGGCTGATGCAGGCTGACTGTGTCAAAGACAGTGTAGAGGATCAGATTAGAGAAATAAATTAAAAATAATAATTTTTCAAAAGATTTTTAATTTCAAAAGAAATTAAAACTTCTAGCTTGTTACAGTTTCTTTCTCCTCCTTTTCATTTAAAAACTCTCTTGATTCTAAACTGCCCTGTCCTAGTGGAGGGTGCTTTGTAAACCTCTAGCCATTAACCACCCCAGCTGTCTTCTCCTTCAACCGGTGGGGTTTCTCAAGCTCACTGTGCTCTGATCATGACATTATTATCACTATTAATAATCCATGTTAGTTACAGCAAGAATTAGAAAGAAAACATGATGTTTGTGTCTTAATGATCCAGGAACGATGGAAGCAAAGCGTAAGCATGCTGTATGAGTGCAGGAGCATTCAGATGCTAAAGTGCATTCAATATGTCTGTCTCTGAACAGCATATCATGGAAGGCAATCAGCAAACGACAACACCTGCATTTGGATTGCAGACACCCTTCATTTGAAGTTGGCAATTAAGTTCTCTGTTGCCAAAGAAAATTAGGTAAATGTCCACAGAAGGTGATGCCATATTTTCTGTGTCTTGGCATATTCCATAATACGCTGCATCTTGCCTTTTGATATGTAAACAGTGTACATGATTTTTCTCCTCAAACGACAACTTTTAAGAAGAGTGCAAAAATCATCTTTTGAACTGCTCAAACTCATTCTGGGGTTCATGGAGCTTGTTGTCACATTGTTATTTGCGGAACAATTTCAAGAATACATGCAGGTTAAAAAATAAAATAAAACAAAGCATGCACTGCTATATACACGTCTCAATATCCATAAATGTGAAAGGTACCTTGCACTCATCTACTATGACTGAGTTGTGAGCTGCAAAAACACACTGGTTTGAGTTGTTTTCCCTATGATTTTTCATGTCGTCATAGATAGACTGAGTCTTGGTCATTTCAATGTCTTCGTGCTCTTTATGATGAGAATCAATGCTGTCAAGTTCTGCCTTGGAAAGGTGGTAGACGATGCCAGCACCAAAAGAATCCCCCACTACATTGACTGATGTTCTCATCCGGTCCCTATAAAAGAAGCAGAAGGAAGAGGCTGAATGGCATAAGAGGAAGAAAAAGTCAGGCCTTAAAGCCCTGTTAATGTTGCAGTTATTGCACTTATTTCAGAAGATTTATGGCATCTTTAGAATAGAAAGATGGTAGCTTTCAAGTGAAATTGAAAAAACTTGCCTTTCCAGAGGACGTGTTCAGGCAGGAAGGATGTGCTAACTCCCATGGCCCAGCTGCTCATTCTCATGGGTTTTGGCAAAGAGTTTGCACAAGGACACAGCCAAACTGCAGAGCTGTGCTTCGCTGAGATCTCCCTGGCGCCTGCTTCTGCAGCTAAAGGTTTCAGTGTCAGGGTGCCAGACTCACATCATTGCCCTTTGTTTAATCTGAATTTATCAGGGTACTTAACACAGTCAGAGAAAAGGATTTTAGATCTGATGAAGTGTGTGACTGCTGGAATAGATTAACAAACAGCCCCTCCCCTTATTCTTAGTGAGAAAATGGCTGGGATGAAATGCCTGAAATGTCTTCATGAGATGGCTCAGGCCATCACAGCTCCTCTGCTGGCACCATCTTTACAGATGGTCATCTGTCAGATGGCAGCATGCCCGCCCACACTACCGTATGGCAGCACACGGTGGATGAGCCAGCCAAATACAGGTCACAGCCTACAAAATGATGAGCCTGTGACAGCATGTCAGTAGCAAGTGCCCCTCACTGCACAGGGTGCCAGCGGAGGCCCACGTGCTTTTGCTCGTTGGCACTTCCCAGACAGGATGCCTTTCTCCTGTCTTCTATTTACAGCATGACCGTCAGCTGTGAGGTCATGGCTGTGGATCTTCCCTAATTTCAGACTTCTGTCCAAAACCTCCCAAAAAAGGGAGATGGTCTTACGGAGAACTGCAGGACTGAGCATTTCTACTGTCTTTCCTACTACAGATAGGATGCACTGCACCTTTACACCTGCCACCTAGATGTGAAGAGCTAACAGTTCTGGTGTTATATGTGAGCTGAAGCAGCTCCCCCCAGTTTTTTTGACAGCCTAATGAAGTCTAATAATCCCCCCCAAAACAGATAAACCAACAACATCCTTCCAGTTTTGCCTCACATGAATGAAATGCTTTACAGATCTCACCCCATGCCTGTGAAAACTGTTTTAAACCTTGTCAGTGACAGAATAGGAAAAAATGACTTTCTAAAGAGTTACTTTTAATTAAGACCATCAAATGTACTGAACCCTCCCATACAGTGCTCCAAGAACCTCTGCTTCATTTTTATTTCTATGAGTAGCATTAGATTTCGAAAGACACCAGACAAGGGAGAGAGAATATAAGCCAAAAAATGAGAAGAGAATACACAAATATAACTGAGGCATGATTCAATTTCTGAATGGGTCATTTGAGCAGATGTGTCAGCTCATATTCATATGTTACTAGCCAAGAGATTCTGTAATACAAACTGCACGCTCTTACAGAGCATTACTATACTAAGTGAGCTGATGTAGACCAGAAACTTTCTTACAACCAAACAGGCAAAGTCATAGCTGTCAGAAATGAACAGCAAAGTGCTTCTGATTTCCTTGGGGTCAGAGAACACCCATGGAGAAGTAAGACTGAGCTTACTCCTTTGTTAAAAATAACCAACAAAATAATTCCAGCTTCTTGGAACTTTGAAAACAAAATTAATATAGGAAAGTTGCAGTCTAGTCACCTGCCCAACATAACTACTTCTGTGTTCTTCATAACGGACCCTAAGAGGAATAATGGAAAGGAAAGACAAAGTTCTCTCTCAAAAGTCAACTCAGCATCTGGTAAGACTGTGCTTTGATATTGCTGCGATGTAATTCTGAAAAACCTGATAAGGATTAATGCCTAATTTCCATGGACTGGCATAAATATGAACTGGAAGCTTGCTGATACAGATCAGAAAGAAGAGGAATTGAATTAGGCAGGCCCTCTTATTATTAATGCCATAGTACATATATCGTATGCTAATGTGAAAAAAAAAAAAAAAAAAAAAAAAAAGGTTCTCCTGCTCTCTGAAAGCTTGAAAACCCTGTATATCAACCTTCCTGTATTTTAGAAACATTGAAATCTTAGCACACCTGCTAATACAGAGAGTTGGTGATGTGTTTAGCATTTAGGCAATTATTTCTTAGCTGTTGAAGAAAAGAGCTCCTGTGTTTTTCAGTTTAATTCAATTCACTTGATTCCCTATTCATAATGCCTAGATATAGAGTAGGTCTGAATGTTCTGAATTTGGATCTAAGCCATGGAGCAAAGTCAGAACTCAAGTAGTCTTTTTCTGAGTTACTGAACAAAGGTAGATGCATAAAATACTGGATTGGCTGCCCAAGCCTGTTTTCTCTAATTCCTCTTTCCTCACTGCAAAATATCACTGTATTTGAGGTTGTGCCATGATATTTGTTAAGCCTGTCAATCTCACATTTGGAAAGAAGCCAGCTTTTAGCTGGAGCAAAAGAGGCTTTGCTTCATTGCAGCTGTTGGCATCTAATTGCTGTCCTATTAAATGTCACTGCTGCGTTGTGCTTAGTTTCAAACTGAGAAAACTGTGAGAGTTGTGAAATCTTGGGAAACTTGCCTGGTGAAAGAGCTCACTTTGTATGTATGTGTGGGAGGAGGAAAGGTTTAGCAACCTAATCTTTAGATATTGGAGAGACTTGAGAAGAAATCGATATGGAAACCTTTTGGCTCCTATTTGAAGGAAAAACTGCCAAGCTTAAAGCCAGTCAAAAGTCAGTTCTGTGTTGCACCACGACCCAATCTTGCAAAGTTGGTTTTGGTAAGACTGCAGTTTCAGATGATGGCAGTATTGTAAAATCAATTGATAGCTCCTTTCATCGGGAATATTGAAAAACTCATACAGTAGGCCACTTCTGCAAAGCTTTCGTTAACTGGAATGCAACTACTATAAATGGAACTATTCCAAAATATTTCTACTTGTTCCAGAAAAGTGGCTTTCATAATGTCTCAAAGATTTTCTTAACTTTCTCTTCTACATTCTGTTATAAATACTGCTGTAGTTTTATTTCATGATCTAAAGAAATGGAAGAAGGCAATGTTTGTAAGTAAAGAAAATATGTTTTTATGACGTTTTGTTTCAGATATTCTCAGATACGGTTTGTGTGCCCAACAGACTGCTCAAAAGTTGGTCTGCATGTCTCTCTTAACCATCTCCAACGTAAGCAACATTATTTTTCATATCCCATTAGACCTCGACACAACCACTGGAAGATGTAAAACAAAGCTGTTAGCTCTTGCCATATGCTAATTAGCACAGTATCTTCACCAGCAAACTTTGCCATAACTTCACAGCAGTAGCGTCAGGACACTAGAGCTTTTCATCTCATTTTTTGTCTCCTTTCTCTTTTTCCTCCGTCTTTCATTTCTGAACCACTCTGGAATTGCACAACTGATTGTTAGGCCAGAAGGATCCAAAACCAAAGTTTTGTGCTGGAAGGTTCTTCTGATCAGCATTTATTTTGGAAAGATACCATAAAATATTTCTTTCTGAATTACTTTCTCTCAGTCTTGCTTCCTGTGCTTACATTCAACACTGCTACAGCTCTGCAGCAAGATGCTTTTATTTCTCTAAGCAGTGCTGGATAAGCCAGAGGTAACGATACCTCAGCTGAGCCTGAAAAGCAACACGTACTGCTGGATCATAACTGCTGGTAAGTAACGGCTCTGAGGTTTGCTAGTGTGGGCACAGCTTCTCAGTCCACAGGAATATTTTTAAATGACATTTCCCTAAAAAAACAAACAAACCATAGACTTCTTTTGCACATCCTCCTACCAGCTGCAGAAACCTACCTATTTGCCCCACTTTGAGAGCCAGTAAAAACAGATTTAAAATGAGTATGCACCTCCCTTTGCTTCCTTCTTTCCAGCTGCAGATGTCTACAACACTTTCCTGTTTTCAATCATGACCTCAGAAATATATTAAAACCCACAGAATATCACATTTTTCTCTATGCCAGCTGCACTCTGACTACTGAACCCTGCCCTACTTTGACATTCTGAGTCATGACATCGTGATATTCAGTTATACATAAAATATGTAAGTAATTTTTTCCTCTGCTTTTTCAAGCTGTAATTCTTTCATTTTTCCTTGAAACAGAATCCAGAGTTGTACACCATTCTTCACAACTCATAGCGAAAAGACAGGTAATAACAGATACACTATAGAAGAAATGTCAAAGTGTTGACAAAGACCTTGAGTTCTTCTCAGTAAGCTAAGAGATAATTACGAGAAAATAATTTTCTGGTTTAGCTTAACATTCTCAACACTGCTGTTGCTTCTTGCATAGTTTTAGTTGTGTATCTGGGACTGAAAGTTACCACAAATGAGCAGCTGAGCTCATAGGAGGAAAGCTGTGCATAGGAGGAAATGCACAAATGGTATAGAACACTTACATCTCCTGGAACAATAGAAACATACGTCTTTACTATGTACAAGTATATCGGGGAGAGATGGCTGTTGATCATAATATGCTGTGCTGCTATCTGTGACAGGGAGGCATTATTAAGAAGACAAAAATGCATGATCCTTGGGCCCACGCTCATACAAGAAGATCCTTTGCTCACAAGAATTGACCTTATTAGTTCTGTAACAATTTCTACCACCTGAGAAGCTGCTTTCAGTGTTTCCTTCCTCATCAAATGGTCCGCGCCTATTTTCTTTTTTGCTTCATCTGGCAGGAGATTCTTGGAGCTCACTAGGATCGATAGCTGAAAAGCACTACAGACAAGCAAACATTTCCTTCATTGCTTTTTCTGCATTGAGCAGTGATGTCAGCACAACTTACAATAGCCAGTCAACAGCAACAAGCAAACTGATGTCCTGGGTAGGGAGACCCACTGCAGTCAGGATGAGAAGCATAGTGACGAGTCCAGCACTGGGAATACTGGCAGCTCCAACACTTGCAAGAGTGGCAGTCAAACTGCAAAAACAAGAATCAAATGGAAATAGCAGGAAGAGGAACATGAACTTTTGTTGCTTACTCATGTGATCAGTAGGAAGGTATTATTCTTAGATGGTTCACTTATATTTATTCATGGTACCTAAAGAGTGAATTTTGAGGTAATGATTGAGAGAAAGTGGTTATTATCAAGTATAGGAGAACAGAAATCTTGGTATCCAAAACCTCCACAGGGCAAGCCAGTGATGTACCAAGCCTGGATACAAAATACTCTAGATGAAAATGCAAAATTTTTCTGATAGGTTCACAAATCCAAAATTGTATTTGCCATAGCCTCTTTTCTTTTCTGATGAAGACCAATAAGGTGCATATCAGTGCTTCAAATACTGAACTCTGCAAAAACACAAAACAGACTGTAACAAATAGCATAACTGGACAATACTGTGAACAACCCAAAGGGAGAAAAAAAGGGGGTGGGGGAAAGGAAAAGGAGAGAAAAAGAAATAGGGAAAAAAAGAGAAAAAGAGGAAAAGAGAAGAAGAAGAAAAAGGACCAAAGAAAGAAAAAAAGGGGGAAAAAAAGAAGAAAAAAAAGGAGAAAATGAAGAAAAAAGAAAAAGAGAATTATATGTATTTTTTAAATGGAACACAGACTTAAATAACATGGTTGCAATTTTGTGGGTGTACCCAACAAATCTGAAAGTGCTTCCAACACAGAAGTAGGAGAAGAAGGAGGTCTCTGGGGGAAAATCTTTAGCTCTTAGTCGTTGAACTAATCTATGAGGATGTCAGCCTGATCTAGACCTTCCAGACGGCTGGGTTTGACCCGGACAGTCCAGGCCACAGTGTGTTTATCAGGTGTCTGGGTTAGAGTGCAACTTGGCCTTCCAAACCCGCAGACAGATTCCAGCAGGCAGGATGCTTCGCACTGCCATCAGGCTCTGCGTGTGGTGTCATCTCCTCGGGCACAGCCATCCTGAGTTGGTGAGAGAGCATTTCCAAGCTCTGCCAGGAGCGGCTCTTTGCTGGCCTTCTCATAGCAGTACGCACAGGGTTGCATGGGACAGAAGCTGACACTGTTCAGATCTGAACGATCTGGCTTAGCCACCATTTCTCAGTTCACCCTCTCCCAAAGATGATATAATCTGTACGATCAATATGAAGTAACTGTGACTAGGCAAAGACTAATAAGGTCATTGTGAATTTACATCCAGGTTATTTGAATATCCCCAGTATCACATTCTGGGTTTGGCAGGAAAAAGCTAGTAACTTCCCATTCATTAATACTGGCAGCTGGGAGGATAGGGGTCATATAGGATAGGCTCTTGTAACATTGGAGCAGAAATGTTTTGTTGTGTGAAGAGGATAACTAGCAGTTATCCTACGTAGTCCAAAGTTGCCTACTGCTTAATCAAATGTGAGTCATAGCTGACGACCACAGCCTTAACTGGTGTGAGCAGACAGAGCTAGAGCCAGTTCCTCAGAGGAGGGAGGAGGTGTAACTCAGGTTTAGGCTTAGCTGGCTTTAATTGCCCTGATTGTAATTTGGTTTTTAGAAGTGGCATCTCTGAAATTACTATTCTCATTTATCAGGCTAGACCTGAATATATCGTTTGTCTTCATTAGAAGCAGCACTGAATGTTTTAGAAACCTTGTTTTTACTATTTTAGGGGCTTGGGCAGGAGGTAAAGAAATGGAAAAACTGCTGCTAATACAGCTGGGTAAGGAACACAGAATTACATATCCCTACACAGAAACTTCTTAAGTGTTAAAAGGGCTTAGTAAAAGAAGGGTAGGTGGGTGAAAACTACAGGAAGAAGGCATACTTGGCAGCCTCCATTTGTGGTTTACATTTTAACTACTCAGAATGTTACGCCTGGTGTCTTCATAAAGTTTTCCACTGTAAATTAACTAAAGCTGCAGCAGTCATAACTTTGCCTTTGTTTCTTATTAGTCACCATATCTAATGGGTCTTAAAACTCCGTTACAGTAAACCATCCTGAATCACTTTTACCCATTTTGAACAATTTCCTTTGTTCTTCCAGAGATAGTCCTTAATACGAAGAGCTGGTATCAAACGAATAGAGCTAGCATTCTCTGGGTTAGAGAGAAAAAGTCCAAGAGTACCTAGATCGTGCTGCAGGCAATCTCACCCTCAGGATTTTTTACACTGAGTCCATTCTTTTTTTGCTGTTCACAGAAATGTTCCCCTCCACCCCCCAACAAACAAACAAACAAACAAACAAACAAAAACCAAAGACATAGATAAATGTTTAGGAATATTTTTCTCTTCCAATATATATAAACACATACGTTCTGGAAAGTTAATGCCCCATGTATCGCTTGAGGCATCCCTCTATACTAAAAGGCACTGCACTGAACAAAAAAAATGCAGTTTTCACATAGCATCTTCAACAGCAAAACTGTACAAACACCACTAGAATGCACTGAGGCTGCAAAAGATCAAAGATTAACATAACTAGAAAACCAGGACCTACATATATGCCATTCTTTTGCATACCATTACTAGAAATCTGTGGGTCTCACAGCCACTGAAAACAGAGACAAGTGAAAGCTTCACCTTTTACTGTCTGTAGAAACAAATCTTGAACTGACCTCACAGTAACTATCTGGCCTCCATCCAGCTCAATTCCATTCATCTGTGCTATGAAAATGGCAGCCACAGCTTCATAAAGGGCAGTTCCATCCATGTTAATAGTTGCTCCAACAGGAAGAACAAACCTCGTTACACGCTTATCAATGCCTAGATTTTCCTCAAGACAGCGGAATGTGACAGGCAGTGTTCCAGCACTGAAGGAGAGAAAGCAAATAAGTAAAGAAGATGTCATTTTAATATAATATGTATATGAGGAAGCAAAGTCAGAAATTCTGCTCTTTGTTTACTTTCTGCTTCTGCTTTCAGCTGTGATTCAAGTTTTGGCTTTTGTTTCAATTAAATCTACATTTAGCTGGAGATGGGACTGAGGCCAAGGCATGAACCTGACTTCAGGAAAGACAAGAGCTTGAGAGATTGTAGATGAAACTTTCAGACTCATTTATGAATTATTTCTTGCATTTTGCTTAAAGAGGCCAGTTCCTAGTGTTTTCTGATGAACAGAATTACAAGCAAAGGGTTAAATCCTAAATTTATCTGATTATAAATTTACTTTGAAGGAAAAATCAGTGCTGCATTATTGAATTAAGAAAAAAAAAAAAAAGTAGGCAAAAACATACAATACACATGCAGCTCCCAGACAGTGGAAGACAGGAAAGAATATCAAACATGGTCGGAGTTTAAGAAGAGGTGTGAAAGACAGCTGGAAGGGGGAACCTTGCACTGATCCGTAGTGTCTTGGCTCTGTGGGAATCAGTAAGGCTATTCTATTCACTTGTTCAAAATAAAACATCATCTAAAAATACTCTTGAAAACAGAACATACTCCTTCTCTGTATATGCAAATATCTTTTACTTCCCTTCCCTAGCACGTCTGCATGATGCCTCAGGCAAAGGACTTGCTGCAACAAGTATGAAACCCACACAGGAGCATGTTTTGTTTCCTCACTTTTCCGTATTATCTCTGAGGTCAAGTTCACCACTAAATGAAGTTGGTTGCTGCCTGAAAAGCCATTCTGAAAACAAACCTGACCTTGAGAAATGCGTTTTAATTGGTGTCTCATACAGAAGCAGCTGAAGAACATCTGCTGTGGTTTGTTTGCTTTTCTTCATCTGAGTTGGCAGAATTTCTCAAAGGCCTTCACTATCACGTACCACTGATGCTGGTGTCATTGCCCCTACAAAAATACTAGTTTGCTTATAAAGGAGTAAAGACCCATCACATTTTCTCAGAAAAATACTTACAGAATATTGTTTCTAGTGCCTTGTAATTTCAGAGTTTCTCCAACACTTAAATTCATCCATTACTACAGAGATGCTATTGATTTTGCTATTGATTTTTCTAACAGATGTTTTTTAATAGATGCCAGCAAGCCAGATACATAGTATCAATCATTTGTGTTCTAGAGTCTTTACAAATATATACTTGCATTTATGATTTATTTTAATTGCAGTTGATCAAATGTTTAATATTCTCTGTTTCTAGCCAAATCAGAGAGAATTCATACTTTCTAAAAACAACATATTGCTCTTCCAAATCTTACTGTAGAGGTTATATTTATAGCAGACGGATGAAATTATATGTGAGTCATTAACCAATATGTGCACTTCACTTTTGAAGTCAGTTTCATCATCACTTTGCCTTTTACAGTAAAGGCACTCCCATATCTTATTAAAAGAGGAACAGAACAGAACACAGTTCATTAACACACATTAAAACCCAGTCCAATAACTTTTCTTCTGGAACACAAATGCCACCTTACCTTTACTTTCACAGAACAGATCACCAGCACAAAGTGTCTATCAGCCATAGGTTAACAGTGTCATAACATACCCTGGCTGGCTCAACAGGTAGAGACTAGATAAATATCTTCCCTCTCCAGTTCTCTCACCGTGAGCAAGGACACGTTAGCAGACCACAGAAGCAAGGTTTCTTTATTAAAAGAGCACAGTAAATAGTCTCCTTCCATGGTTCCTCAGCCCAACCTTAATAGGTCTCTGTGTATGGAGTACTTCAACTTCCAGAGTACCAGGTTAGACTTGTATGATGGTGACTGTTGTAACATGGTCATCTGTCTGTGGAGCTATGAACTGGTCCATATCTGTCTGGACAGTAATTCAAAACATAATACTGAGGTAGGTCCATAAGCAGAGTTCATTCTCTGCATTAACAATGCATAGGAGTCTAATATATTCAGTTTTTTGTGTTTTGTTTTGCTTTGTTTTTGTTTTTTACTGAAGTCCCCTTGCTCAGTCAAATTGGATGAAAGAATAAAATGAGGGCATTATAGTAACTCATTGCCACTGCTTGGGAACCAGATTCTGTTTAAGCCTAATATGCTGTGAGCTCCCAAGATCTCTCATGTGTCTTCCACAGAAGAGAAGGAAAGGGACTTGAATGCACTGAAATCTTCACTGAGATCAGCAGATATACACAAATCCTATGGCATCTCTGCAGATCTCTGCTACCATTATAACTCAATACAAGAAGCAGCTGGTAGCCATCGGAGACTTTTATCCATTTCTTTCATGCCTCTCCTGAAGCCTAGGACTATTTTTGCCCTCAGGGCAATGAGACTAGCCTTAACATGCTTTTAAAAGTGAACAGTATAATCACTGTTTTCCAGCTGATGAAACAAGGACAGAGGTAATAATCCATACAAGTCATTTGGCCTATGTGGGAAAAGAAAACTAAAAGTGTGTCTCCCGACCCTCCTCAGTGGCCTGTACAATCTCTGTAAAAATCCCCAGTGTGTGTTATAACCTACTTCTTCCAACAAGGCTGGATTTTTTAAAAAAGTTTTTATTCAACGGCATAAAATGAAGGTCAGAACAGCAGATGTATGACCTTAAAGCAGCATCCTATAATCCACTAAAAATAAATAAAGCTGTTATTTCTCAAGTGTACCTGGAAGCTGTGCCTAGTGCTGTGATCCACGCCTGGAAAATCCCAGCAAGGAATGAAAAGGGGCTTTTTCTCGTTATCACAAAGTAAAGCAGAGGCAGGAAGATTCCTCCATGGATGACAAGGCCCACAATCACAGTTACCATGTACATGCCAAGTTGTCTAGCAACTACTTCAAGGTCCTTGATTGCAATGATTTTTCCACAGATGAGACAAGCAATGCCCAAAGGGGAATACCTGGGGAAAGAGAACAAACATAGACAGAACTGATCTTTGTAGCATGAAGACATAAAATGTGTCCTTAACAGAATACAGGCTAGAGAAAGACTAGGGGCTTCTCAGGCTTGACACTGAGGTGCAGATCAGGAAGCGACAGAAATTCAGTGGCTTGCTTTCACACCTCTTCTGAAAACACTGGCCATCTCCAGCAAATTCCACATCTAATTCATTTCATTCCATTCTACTGAATGGAATATGCATTTCCCAAAAAGTCTTTGATCCTGGAATGACATCCTTTGAGGATATGATAACATTATACAGGCTTGTACAGGGATGTAGTAGTTGTTTTTAATATTTAACTTTCACAACTCATTGTTCATCTAGTTTCAGGAAGTTGCATTATTTCTTTCAGCTAAATGGCATGCTCCTGAGAGCCTTTGCTAACTACTGGAGTTGCCACGTGCCCACAGCTCTGTGCAGGGAGATGACAAGCCAAACAGAATGTGATTCTGAGATACAGTTGTCTTTATAAAGACACACAAAAATGCTGCTTCTAGTTACAGCAATTCTTTAACAATTCTAGACAGAGGTGAACAAGTAGAACTCCCCAAACCAATCTCTTTGTCAAGAAAATAGGAATAAAAAGCACATGAGTAAAAAGAAACGAATACTTGCAGTCAATTTCTTGAAAGTTGAATGGCTTCCTGCCATTGCAACACTGACTACAATGGAAACTTCATAACTTAAAGAAGGTATTATGTTCTGGGTGTACCAACTGGTGCTAAGTGAAATAAGAGTAAATTCTAGCCCTTGGAATGTTATTAGAGTATAGTCACTGTCTCTCTCCTTGCACAGTCAAGATCAGCAAGTTGCAGTAACTACTGAAAGCAGGAGGGCTTTGTGAATAAAAACAACTTTTTATGTGGCAAGATCCCCTAAAAGAAAAGCAGAAGCATAACAGGAAGAAAAAATCATTGCTTCAAGTTGCTTTGTTCAGCTCATTTCTACATCACTGTTCCGGTCCACATGTCTTTTGCTTAAGTTTTCATTTCAAACACTGATGATGTTGAATACTCGTGCTTCAGGCACCCTTCTCCCTTTTCGACAAACTTTGTCCATCTAAAGCCTAAGGGAAGAGGCACACTGCAGTCTTGTGACTCAGGAACTAATTTCCAGAGACACATATGAATCACGGGTAGCAACGAGCTATGATATATATGTCACTCCAAAAGTAATGCCTCCTATTTACTTCCATGGAAACTACAACAGCTACATAGAGCTCAATAGCGCTGTCTGATAGAGCAAATTCTCAGCAACAAAATGCTATTCTTCAGCATAGTCACCACCATTATCTCTGCATTTTTGCCAGCAATGAGCAAGAGCCTGAATGCCACGCTCATAAAAATCTGCACCAGAGGAGGGGACCCACAGTTTCACAGCTGCTGTGATGGTATGATGGTGTTATTGCTGAGAAAATGTTGCCCACACAGTTCATCCTGCATCAGACAGAATAAATGAAAGTCAGAAGGCACCAAATCTGGACAACTTGGTGTGTAGCTGGACAGTCAAGATCGCAAGGCCAGTGTGCTCCACAGTCTTCAAACTGGTAAGGGGCCTAGTGTTACTGTATTATAAGAGAAAGGTTGTCTTCATCTGTGGCTTCATCTGTGGCTTGACTCTGAAAGATCAAGCCTTCAGCCAAGTCAGCGTTGTGATGCTGTAATCAAGAGTTGATGGTTTGTCTGAGCTCCAGGAAATCCAGAAGGATCACTCCTTTCCTACCCCAAAAAAAACAATGCACCTCATTTTACTTGCTGAGGGCTGTGTTTTGAACATTTTCTTTTGTAAGGGAATTCACACATCACCACTCCATGGACTGCCATTGTGATTCTGGCTCGTAGTGGTGACACCATGTACATCTCATCACTGATAAATGATACAATCCAGAAAACTGTCGCCTTCAGCATCATATTGTTTCAATAGGTTCTGACAAACTTGCATACAGTATTCTTTCTGTTCCTTTTTGAGCATTCATGAGATTCATTTGGCACAAACTGTGATATTTCAGTGTTGCCACCATCATTTCCAATGCATTGAAGCTGATATTCAGCTCCATACATATTTCCCTGATTGTAATCTAACAATTTGCTTAATGAACACTCCCGTATCAGACACCATTTTGTCAGACTGTTCCTCTGCTGTCGTCTGTCACACAGCAACAAAGTTTAATAGAGTATTTATGGAAAGGTTCAACCTCTCCTGCCATACCACCAACACCTGCTACTTATGTCAGGGTCCATTATAAAATGGGTGGTATTAGTTTCAGATCAGCCCTTGTATACATACTGTACTGGGAGAAGGTATTTCTTCCTTTGAAAGACCGTGGAGATACCAAATGTAGTAGTACAGTGCTATAGTGGAAATGCTAAGTCAGGGTCTGAAGCAGTGATTGAGCACCTGGAGGGAAGGCAGGGCCAACCCAGGGGAGCTCAGGTGCATGTAGGATCCACCCCTTTCCAGACCTCATTTAAGGGTTGGCAGTGAAGGTGAGAATATTTTGCTGGAGCTTCCTGCTTTCCTGAGGCCTTTCAAGGGTAAGCAGTTCTTTTCCTTCATTTCTGCATCTGTGGCTGCTGTATTTGGGCTCATTCTCATTTGCTGTAGCTGTAGACTTTGCCACCCTGCTATTATTGCGGTACCTTCCATCCCATTATAGTGTTACAGATGCCAAAAGTAGCACTTTTATGTACTGAAAAACTGGTTTTGTGTGATACATCCAGGTTTGGCATTATATACCAACAGTTCTGGGGGAAGCCTTCAGAACAATCACCAAAAAAAAAAAGAAAGAATGAGTACCCTTCCAGAAATATAAACAAGAGCTTAGTCTTCACAGAGTAAGTCATTCCCTTGAAGGCAAGCCAAGCCCCGTTATTACAAATGGGTGTACTTCAAAAACAGGACAGGCATCTTCCACTGCTGTGGTGCTCCAAAACTCAAATTCTGCTGAAATTATGGGGGAGGAACTATGCATCACTGAAGACCACTGGAATTTTATTTGATGGTGAAGTATTTTTATTACAGAAGACAGCAAATGAAGTATGTCTTTAGGCTTCTTTGTAATTATACCTTATAGATAATACTCTGGGATTGCTCTGATTACTTTGTAACCTCCCAGGAAGACATGGAGGTTCTTAACATAGGGTATTCTTGTATGCTTAGGTGTCCTCCTATATAATGAGTGTCAATAATAAATGTGGCATTTGAAGGTCTTTGCTGGTACCTTCATGTCTTGGATTTTACTAAACAAAGAATAAAGCTTGTCAATTTCAGAAATATTTCAAAATCATTCCTAAATAATGTTCAGCATACAGAAATAATGCTGTTCTGGTTCTAACGTAACTCGTAAGTCTTTAAAAACCAAATTATTTCATTACACTGTTTACTAACAGACTGTTTACTATATGCTATAATAGGGCTTTGAGAGATTTTTATTTATTTACCTATTTTGTTCCAGAAGTTAGGACTTTGAACTTACCACATAATCATAGTTACTAACTTCATTACGATCTCATTCAGGATATTGAAGAAATCCACCATCATCTTGGCTTGTTCTCCCATTTTCCCCATAGCAATGCCAAAAGCAATAAAGAATCCTATTAAACCTATTGAGGAAAAAGTTTTAAAAGCAAGTAAAAAACATAGGTTTTAGCAAGATCTTGCACATAGTCAGTGTCTTTGTGCTACCTGCTAATCCACTTTTCAGAGTGACTATAGTGTGCTATACATCTCTCAGGTCTTTTCAACATGAACTCACTCTCAACTTTCATGATTCTATTCCAGAATATCCTTTAGTACTTTACCACACTCTAACTTCACGGGTCAACTATATTTTTTTCTTTTTTTCTGAATTGATTTGATCACCACAATCTTTCCAGTGCCATGCAATTGTTAGAAACCTCATGGTCCCCAGCAAATAGGAGAGGCAACACAGCACCACACCATGACTGTTTTTTGTTGCTGAAATAGTCACTAGAGACAAAGAGTATATTTAACAAGGTTAAAAAAAAAAAAAAAGCACCAAGAAGCCAACCCTTGGCAGATTACCTGCAGACCAGTCAGTCTTGTAATACTAGAAACAACCCCAGAATGTACCTTTTGCAGATCAGGAGTAGCCTAGTTAAGAAGGTGGGGGTGGGAGGAGAAGATTTGTATTGTACTTCAAGCTTAACCATTACATTCACATTAAACAGATCACTGCTGATGATTTCAGTGAGAGTAGATATCTAATCATAGATTCAGTGCAAGTAAAAATGGGCTGCCTAAATTTAGATGACTAAGGTGAGAAAGCATGGAGCATTAGACTCTCAGTGCACCTGTCATGTGTCTCTTTGAAGCTCTCTCTCTAAAGCTAACCCTCACTTTACAGCAATTTTCAATGTCCTCAGAGGGATTATTAGCTGATACTGATAGGTGGTTTGAAAGTTAAGGCATCACTCGAGGGTAAATTTTCAATCATGATACAAACTCAGTATTTAACAAATGTGTGAACTCATGGGAATTTCCTAAAGAGAAACCAATAAGGATAAAAAAAAAAAAAACTCTAAAGAATGGATTTCAGCTACTGCTATGCTGGGAAAAGACATTTGTCTCATATCCTCATGCTAGGTTTAGTAATACATTTTTTGTGGTGTTTCATTCATTCTCTTGGATAGAAGGCCATTGTCTAGATCCAACCTATCTTTGCTTAGTCACTTAAATAGAGCACTGAAATGCATGTATGTGTGCTGCAGAGCATGGAGAAATAATGAAAAGCTTTTCAGTCAAAGACCAAGTAACTTCCTGGAATTCAGACTACACATCAGAAAATGTTTGTAGGTGGTTTCGTTCTGTTAATTCCAGGCTAGCTGCTGCATTATTCAGAGAAGTCAAGTTGGCTAACATTTGCAGGAATTTGCCTGGATTGCACAGTTTATGCAACCTGGATGGCAATTCCTCAGTGTTTTCACTTCATACATATGAAAAATGAACAACAAATGACTCTGCAACATTTGAGAGTCATCAGTCAAAACACCACAGTAAATATCCCACCTAAACTATAGTTTTAACAGCATTCATTTCCTTCCTGTAGGAATTTTACTCAGTCTTCTAGCTATTTTCTTATCTATTCTGGGATCAGTACAGCACAAATTTCACACTAAATGTACTTCATCTCTTGCATCAGAAATACAATTTCATTTTAGCATAAAATAAGATCTAAGAGGAAAAAAAAAATGCAGTTGATGATAACAGCATGACCAATGGGCTGCTGTCTCACATGGTGCAAAATTCCAATCTGCTCCTTTGCAAGAAAGCAGTTCTTCTGTCTAGTGATGCAGAGGAATGGGGACCACAGTGGCAAGCCCAGTACAGTAGCTCCAGCTCTTCTTAAGCAGGCTGCTTCCCAAAGAGGAAAAAAAAATGACCTCAGGTTTGTTTATTGATGTTATGTCCCCTGTCTAAGTAAAGCAGCCTCTGCCATCCAATTCACCAACACCTGGAGAAGGTCTGCAGGCACAGCAATCATTGGCTTAGTAGGAACTGCTCATCAGCTGTAAGGGGCCATTTGCTACTAAAAAGTAAAAGCATAGTGGTGGGTTAAAGCAGTGGTTTAAGTACTGCCATACGCTGTCTCACTGTGAGGGCAGTACCTATAAACACAGGTGTGGACCTTCACCCTGTGAACATGCTGCTGCAGAGCACATGGATCTTTAAATGTGGGTGTGCTGATGAGCACTACAAATTGAGGGCTAATATGAGACCAGTTTCACCCACGTTCGCAAGGAAAGTGAAGAAGGAGCACCTCTTTCTGAGCTGATAAAACTGAGTCTAAGTGCAGAGGATAAAGTAAGAGTGGTGTGGCAGCTCTTCGTTCCTTCATGCCTTTGCCTCAGCTTGAACAGGTGCTTCAGGAAGGAGTGGGAGATAGGCAAAACCTTTGTACCACCCCCATATGCTGGCTTGTACAGACAAGATGGCATGATGGCAGTTGTTCATAATGTGCAGCTGGTAAAGGTCAGCAGCCAAGATGAAAGAGAGAGGGAGTTGTGACTCAGAGATGTGTCAAGCCTCTCTGGGATTTTTCTTGGGTGGTGCGGTGCACACCCCACCTCTCACTTCAGGCTGTGCCTCAAGCCAAAATCTAGTTCAGCTTGCCCAAGAAACCTATTAGAAACAACTGAGCTCAAATTCATCAGAGGGTGGGTAAAGCACTGCCTCTTGAAGCCCTCCTCCATAGTGTTTTGCCAATATGCTTTACTATTAGTCTAGATGGGCTACCTCTATGATGAAAGGATATTTTGGATACCTCCTACATAGTTCCCCACTGTACTCCAAATAATTCCCGTAAAGCTGCCATTCCAGAATAATTCACTTGATTCTGTGATATCATTGTAGTTCTACCAAGACCGTTTAGTTTTCATCTCAGAGACCAAAGGGAAGCCAGTAGGTAAGGAGAGATTTGATGACTATTTGTTGAGATTGAATTTGCACTGAGGAGATCACTGCAGATCAGAGAACACTGACTACCCAGTCACAGCCAAAAGCTGCATCATGCATATGATGTAAATATTTGACAGGTGAGTTTTCCTACCCAGGACATTCATGCCATCCTTAAATTCAAGTCCCTTCTTAATGACTAGCTGGGCTTCTGGTGGTGCTTCACGCACTGTCTCATTCATCAGAGCAAAAGCAGAGTCAGTAACATTAGGTGGCTCTTCAATGGGTGGTGGCACCAGCACTTTCTTGGTGACAGTTTGGATCTGAAGGCAATAAAAAGAGAGGATGAGAATGGAGATAGACTGGATTTATTCCATATGAGAAATCAGGAAATAATAATAACTTTTCACTTGAAACTCCAGAGAACTATATTTTTAAAGAATTAGGCACGCATTCCACAACCTCTTACCCCTTCTTCCAAAAATAAGTTTGTTTTTCAATAGTTTCAAATGACACACAGTCCTGGGAATCTTCACTGTGACTCTGGTGTGAAAGCATGGCAAATACTTCTTCCTTCTTGCTAGTGTGTAATGTTTTACAGATAGCTGGCCTCTTTGTCCAGATGGTTCACAAATGGTGCTTCACAGATTGTATGTTACCCAGAGATGTAATTTATTTAGCACAGAAAGTCGGGTATCTCTAAAATCAGTCACAGCAGTAACTCTACAATGAAGCTTGTTATTTAGGATGGACTGCCAAGCTCAAGTTATCATAGCGTGATGTTTAACTTTGCTCAAAAATTCATGATATTTCTGACGCTTCACTCAGTGACTGAGGTTATTTAAAATGAAATGCACACAGTCCCAGAGCTCTCTTATTAAAACATCCTAATAGATGCATAATGAAGGATTTAAACCACCAGATAACTACTATATCAAATCTTACCACCTTTAAAATAAGAAGGCATCAGTAGTTAAATGACTGTGGACTTCTCCTGGTACATGAAAGGAAGGGTCAAGAAAAAGATAGGAAAGAATGGTGAGGAAGAACGAGCTCAAGTTTATGGCGAGGCAAAAAAAATGGGGTATGAGGGTGGAAAAAAGGGAAATCAGTGAAAGGACTGCTTTTCCCTATAGATCACACCTTGAGACTTTCATGGCTCTGAGACAGGCAAGATGTTTCATGACTGTTTTGTCACTGTTTGCCCACCAGCTCCCTATTTTCTGTGCTCTTAGAAATATGTTTGAGCAAGGCATCAGAGCCACACATTAGTCTTTCAAAAACATTTGCACCTTCTTTCTGCTCACACACTGTAGTACTATAGATGATGATCCAGATTGGATCCACATAATGTTTTAACATACCTTGCATCTCTCCTTACCACACATGCTGTCTACATTACAAAGGGCGTTGCAGACAGAAAAGCTGCACAGCTCCTGTGTGAGAAGCTCTTTGGTTGTCCTGAAATCATCAATTTCTGCATGTTTTCAATTTTTTTCAAGTGTTCAAATTCATCTGAGAAATGTTATCAATGCTATATATATATATATTTTGTAACATAGATGAAATGTAAGAGCGAAGTCACAGAAATTAAAACATTAAAAGCACTCAAATTCCACAACAGTTGCTTAAGACAGAGGTCCTCAGCCTTTCACTGCATGTAGTCATAGTACTTACATAGTACTTACAACCTCATGTCTAACATGGAGTTTAGGTTCCAACAACAATATCTGAAGCCAGAAAGCTATTTGAATGTTGCAGTCATTTAAACATAATCGCCCATTTCTCCATCATGGCGCTTAACTTAAATCTCTTCTGGAATAGCAGTTTTTATTATAAATTAAGAATTTTTTTCTTGACCATTGGAAAAAAATCAACAGCTACAGAAATTTCGTGATGGTCCTGAGTTCAGTTGCCAGATGAGCTATATAAAAATTGCAATTTAATCCCTTAATTGCTTGTAGAACTCCCATTAGGATCACTGCTGCACAGTACCACTGTTGTGTATGCTTCAAAAACAACCTTTGCAGAATTTTGTGAATTTTCTTCCTCCTGAGGCAACCTGGAAACTTTGAGAGAAACTTTGCTTGTGGAGAAACTCTGCAGAAATGTCTGCATTAAAAGGAATGAATTTTTCCTCCTAACTTCTTTACTGAGCAGTTAAGGACTAATGGAAGACAAGTTCAATATGGGAAGGATTGTGACTGACTTTGCAAATGAGAAGTAGCTTTGTGACAGAGGCACTGGCAATTAATTTGGAATCTGATAAGAGGAAACTTAGGAAGGCCATAAGCTCAAAAGGGAGTGTCCTTCATGTGCCACTGAAATTACCAGGACTGTGTTCATTGACTGCTATAGGCTTTGAAATGGGTCTGCATTGGTAAACTTAAGAAACAAATGATGGAATTGGTCATCTATAAGTAATGAAGTGAATTAAACATTTATATTACACACACTAAAAAAACAGTATTAACGTTTTAAGAAAACTATTTTACATGGGTAGCTTAATATTTTTCTCCCATATTTTTTCCCTTTTGTCAAGGTATTCAGCCACTTTCAGAAGACCAGAAATCTAGCTATCTCTTCCATAGTTTAAACTAGGGAAAGAAAGAAAAAACACAAGTACCCTGTAGTCCCCACACTCCATTTTGCAAAAACACATTTCACATTACATGCAGTGTTTGGCCAACCACAGTTTGACCACATGACTGACATTCCCATGATGATCTGGAAATACTGAGAATGTTCTCTCATTAAAACCCCAAGGACTATGTGTTTTTATGTGGAAGACTGTGGAAGAAGTGAAGAAATTCATGTCTTTTTGGCATCTTAGATTGCCTTCTGTTCTTTCACCCCCGTGGCCTCTTCTGTCTTCTCCCTCCCCCACCGCTTTCTCTTCAGCCATAATCACAACTCATGCCATTTCACTTAGGAGTGGTTAAGGGCATATTTGGCAACAAAGCTTATTTCATTTAAAAAAAGAAGTCTGCATTACTGCCGAACAGCTTAGCTTTAGGAAAAAACAGCTCACATATCAGAAATTTGTCTGAGAAAGGCAGGCTTGTTGATCTCTTATTTCCTTTATGCTTCCAAGTGAAGCCATTTTTATTAAGTATTGGTAAAAAGCTTTTTTGACAAAATTTATGTACAAAGCAAGCAACACAGGGTCTAACATCCAACTTTCCCAGTATGCCTCAAACCTGGCCTGATCTAGCCACCTGTGGGTGGGTCAGCCACCTGAATGTATTATTCCCATATAGGACTATAATCTGTTGTTATTATGGAAATTATGGGAAGTCGGGTTTCAGAGTATGTTCCCAGTGGCAAACGGCCTGAATGAAGATCATTCAGTCATTATACAGTGGGCACTATAAAACCATCAGCTTGGTAGTTAATGACTAAGACCAAATTCAGCGAGCGTGAAAGATTCTGTAAGTCATCAGCCACTTGGCACCAAGCCATCATTCATGCCCTTGTATAAAAAGTGAGGAAAAGTTTGTAAGATTACTTAGTAACAAACTAAAAATAATGTTTAAAAAAATCTATGAAATAATAATTACTAAACAAAACAGCTACAAATAATGCTCTTTCATTTACCTGCTAAAGTCCTAAGACCTTTGCATCATTGTTTCTGTCATTCTTTGTCTGAATAGCATCAGTACCTCTATAGACAAACTTGGTCAATATTCTTTTAAGAAGTTTTAAAAAATATTCTGAAGGAGTAGGATTTACCTGCTGAAAACATGCTTGGACTAGATTTTCAGGGAACAGGTTTCGGATCAGATCCAAGAAAGCATCCAGACTAGATACTTCATCATTCTTCTTCCCTTGACCAAGCTGTTTCTTGAGTTTTGGATTTCCTGGATGGATAGCTAAAACCAGAATCACACCCAGCACGGCAGCAATAATAGTGGTGGACATGTAGTAGACCATGGCTCTCGTTCCCAATCGGCCACTTGCTTTAGCATCTAAACCAGACAGTCCTGCATGTGTTTTATTTTTAAGAAACAAACAAACAGAGACTCAATAGCCAATTCAAAAAGCATCATAGAAAACACTGTATAATTTGTAAACGTTAATGTCTGCCTACTTTTTCTCTTTGTGAAATTCTTGCTGAAACTTCTCCCTCTAAATCTTATGTGAACAATGTCTGCTGTTACTACTTTAAAGAGAACAGTTTGAGATTCCATTTGACTGCACAGGAGACATCAAAAAATAAAGAAGAGTTCATACCACCTTATGCTTATATTGCATATTGTTCATGTTCTGGATGACAGCACAGATTTAAGAAGGCAAGGCATTCTACTGTCATGACACCTTAATTCACATGGTTTAATGCAGGAATTAGGTGAAAAAACATATTAAGAAAATTCTTATCTTCAGGAAGGTGGTATGTCAGCATGTTTTTGAAAACAAATTCACTGGAGCATCTATCAAAGTCAATAAATTAACTCCAAATACACACTTGCAAAATCCCTGACAGGATCACACACACACAAAGCAAACCAGGTGATTTCTGTAGCAAGCACCTTAAAGTATTTATGGCTAATAGATCTTACCTGTGATTAAACTGGAGATAATTAAAGGGAGGATCAACATTTTTAGCATCCTCATAAGTATATCTCCTGGGAAGGCTATTAACATGATGATGTCAGGGTCAATAGGTGTTGCCAGACGAAGAAGACCCCCACATAATGCACCCAGGATGACACCTGGAAGGAGAGTAAAAGACAGTATGTAGAAAAGGAAAATATCCATGCTCATTGATTATTAGAAAAGCGTAGAAAAAAAATAGCTGTGGAAGGTGGCTAGTTTTTGGTAGAGAGACTGATTCTGGAAGGCATAATCCTCTGATTGATACCAGCTGTAACATGCTTACCATATATCTCACAACTAAAGAGAAATAATCCTGAGTTTGCACCTAATATGCTATTCTGCGTTGTATTTTCCCCACAGTATTATTAAGGTTTAATAATACTATACAGTCCTTGTAACACACTATGGGAGAGTTAAATGTAGGCAAACTAAGGCACTGACATGTAGTGATGTACACAGGGTCATTCAGGGTTGGGACTCTTCTCAGTATGACATCTAGCTCTTAGTATGAGAATGATACTGCATGAAAGCAAAACAGCATAAGTAGCTATTTTACAGCCTAAGAAAAGCCCTCCAGGAAAGCTAAAATAGTCATGAGAGGAAAACAGATTCAAGGGTGACCTGGGGCTTTTTGGAGGGGAACATCAGTCATTTACTAGTAACGTGGTCATCTCTGATTTTATCAGCTCACTACTAAGCAAACTAGGGACTTAAGCTAGTAAAAGACCTAGTTAACTCCAGCTTTCATCCAAACCCAAGTCCTAATTGATCTTTCAGGCAGCCAGACACCACTTTTCTACTCAAAACAGAAATTACTCCTACAGAGCTGTTATTCATCCTTTAAAGTGTCTGTAATGCAACACATGAAGAAAACTTAATTGAAGAAAAATCAGTTTCTTAGTATTAATTTATTGCTATCTCCCTTTGATGGACTGCATCCTTCTGTTCTCGTGGTACTAAGACTCTCTAATAGTCATTACCACAAAGAATTTCTTCATCACAAGTGTACTGTGAGAACACCTAAAATCCTCTCTCAGGGCTGAGGCTGTTTAAGTCCTGTCTATGTGAAAAAAGGCCACATTTACTTCCATCTCAGGGTCTTCATAAATGGATATTCTACGTCTGCATCCAGGATGCTTTTGTCTTTTTTTATCCCAGGCTCAATTGTAACAAAATCTGACATCAGAGCTTAAGTTGTGATTTGCAGCAACTATGACTCTTTGTAGTATCAGTTTGATGTGATGAGAATATACATTTACTTAAAACTTTTATGGAATTGCATCAGCCACCTTCTAAAGATGATTCAGTGCAAACACTCTGTCTAAACACTTCAGCAGTATGTGTTTTGAAGGCTTAAAAATATGGCTATGAAATTTGTAGCTCATGACCAGCTGCTGTTAGTCTTTCAAACAATAACAAAATAGAGTATGTCTATGAATTTGCTGTGTTACGCTGTTAGGCTTTCAGTGAAAATGAGCCAGGCAAAGAGCCAAGGGACCACAATAAAATGTCAAGCTGTTCCATATTTGGAAGCTGCTAAAACCAGAGGTAACGTTCAGGATGAGATCACTGAGCACTGGCTTACAGCTACAGAGAGGGGGAAAAACCTTAACAGCAGAGTGTGAGCTGAGAGATAAAAAGATGAAAAAAAGTAAATTTTGAAAGTTTTTCTCCCTTTTCAAGTAACAGAGAGAAAACATGCAGTGCATTTGGTTTCACTGAAAGACATTGATCTGACTCGCCTTGGGACTTCAGTTACATTCCATTCTAAACCAGAGACAACAGGTAACAGTTTTGTGGACTCGTTCCATGTTGTGTTAATAACACCCTGCACACCTGAACTAGAGGGGCAGTGCCTAAAGGTGTCCTACTCACTGTCTGACTGTTCAGCTAGAACAGCAGATGAGCACAGAAAGGGGCTGTGTTCTTACACCAACAAGTACAGATCCTCAAAGCACCCAGACAGGCAGATGTAGCTTACCAAATACAGTAAGAGTCAGGAGCAGATTCCTGCGGAGCGACTTGAAGAACTGCACACATATGTTCCCAGATCTGTGCTCCACTGGACTCAAATGACTTTCATGCATCCGCACTTCTACTTGCTTCGGCATATTGTTGGCGCTAGAATAAAAATGAAAACCAAGTAAAAGTTAGAGCACAAGATGCCAAAAGGAAGAGGAAAGCCTGGATTATTTCCATCACACGTAACTAGGGAATCTGATGCATATTCCATTGCTTCCCACATTTCATAAACACCGTATCTTTACTGCTCTAAGGAGAGAGGTGTCAGAAATGTTACTGTCTGATACGTCTCTTCTAAAGGTGTAGCCATTAGGGTACTTTTTGGAGTTCTCTCTGCAAACACAATGAATTCACAGGACAACCTAACTGTTTCAGACATTAACTTATTTGTTGTGACCTGGGGAATCTGGTTTCCCCAAAGATCACAGCTGTCCACTGAAACAGGAAAGATGGCTGAAAAGCAGTTTATGTTAACAGAAAAATGCAGTTAATACCTTGTTTAATTCCAATCCAGAAAAAAAAAAATAAGAGTTTAAAAATGAGGATTTGGTAAAACAATCCATTCTGGGATATTTTGCGTGAGATTCCCAGAACTTTTCAACATTAATATTTTTTAGTAATATAATCAAAATGAAGAGATCAAAAGAATCTTTTACAACCAAGTTCTAATGAGATTTGATCAACAGCTACTGAAAAAAAAAAAAACAGAAAATTACACATTCCCCATGAAAGCCTTTGGTTTCATTGAATTTGTGATGTTTAAAGGAAAACATATATGTATATATGTACATATATGTGTGTATATATATACATACATTATATATATATATATATTTGAGTGTAGGCCTTTGAAAAAGATGCTTCAAACTTTTACAGTGCCTGAGAAATTATTAGCAATAGATTCGTTTTTTATATACAAAAGTTTAAAATATACTTTGGGAAAAACAAAGGAAACCAAACCACTGAAAATACTGCTGCAAATAAAACATTTTCCATAAACCATATAGCCATCTACCTAAATATGAGAAATATCAGAAGAAAGCTAAAATGCAATTTTTATTATCAAGTTAAAGACCTAGCACAAGACTTTGGAAGAAAAAAAAAAAAAAGACCTAAGAAAATATGATAGACAAAACTTTTTTTTCTTATTACTTTTTAAAATCAAGATATATTGTCCCACTGTAAGTCTGTCTGGAGCACATCACTATGACATCCACAGAAATAACAGCAAGCTAAAGCATCTCCAGAGAGGTAAAACAATGCTTTATTATACATAGCACAGCTCGCTGTCTTCATAAAGTTTCTCGATGGAGAGTTACAAAAATAGTTCTGTGATGTTCCCACTGAAAGTAAAATGGCATTTATTTCCAGTGCACCTGGTGGATAAAATAGCAGTGCCAGTTAAAAATACATCAGGAGATATGTTTTTTTAAGAGATATGGGAGACTACTAGTTGTTGTGATTTAAATTTTGTACCTTTTATATTTTATAATCATAAAATGTACTTCTGATGGTGGAATAGCAAATAAGAATGTGTGCGCATGTTCTGACGACTCAAATGAGCGGCATACCTTCTTGAAAATTTGTGAATACAACTGTCAGATATAAATAAGAATTAGAGGACAACATCTGTAGTGTTCCTGCACATGGGTCACAGAGACATGAAATCACACGTGGAAGCATGTCAAAAAATTAAGGAGACTGGGATCTAAACTTTATAACTAAGGACTACTTCCAGTCTCACTTGTACGCTGGATGTAAGTGCAGTGCTTGTTTAGACCTGTATTCACCAAAGACTGATTTTATACTCATCTGGAATTTTGAAATATGGGCAGTTGAAATTCATTCAAAAGAAAATATTAGAAGATCTTCCAATAGCAAAATACTGGCAGAACTAGAGTGTGTCAGTAAGCTGAAGCCCTTGCTGAAGCCACGTGTCTTTCCAGACTAGGTTTAGTCTGGTTTCTCAGATTGGATGCTGTTCCTTTCCCACACCTACAGCTTCACAGTGTCAGTAGAAAAGCTATCTCACAAATACTTGCTGCAGGCTACTCTAAACACTATTTTCCTAATTGACAGACAACAGAAGAAACCATTCCCTGCCCCTTTTGCCCACAAAACTCTCCCATGCAGAAGCAGGCTTCAGGTCCCAATCCTGTACCCAAGGCTTATTTCTGTTCCCACTTGTGTCTCAGTGACATCTGGGTATTTGCTGGCACTTTCATTCCTCGCCCTTGGAGGTTCATCAGCATCCAAACAAAGGCTCACGAGGTGTGGGGATGGTGGGCCTGCTCCTGCAGCTGCCACTCGGGATTACATCCCAGGTGCACTGAATTCAGCCCTGCTTGAGGTTCTCAGATAACACAGAGCTTCTGTGTTACAACAAGCTCTAGTATGCAAGTATCACTGAGAAGAAAGTGAGGGTACAAGGCTCTTTAAAGGCATTTCTGTTTTTCCAGGAACTTCATACCACCATGTGTTTTTCTCTGAAGTGCAAAAAATGAGTTTTGTACCCTCCAGCTCTTCAAGATTGCAAGTAAACTTCCAGCAAGGACAGAAATTCTGACTGGTATGTAATTGCTGTGTTTTTATTTTGCTTTCAAAGAAAAGGACCTAACTAACACACACATACAAAAAAAAGTTAATGTGCAGATATGTTACAGAAAGTGTTGACAAGTGGATATAACTGCATATAAGTGGATATAACTGCATATAAAGCGGGACCACACGAGCAATTATCTAAGCATCTGCACTGTTAGCACTGCTCTTAGCACTGAGATTTCTATCACCAGACCGGAGACAAGGCTCTTGAGGAGGCTGTAGGGTACGGGGGGTGGCTAAGGAAGGCACTAACAAAATAAAAATCTGCTGTGAACAGTAAGAGAAGCTTCTTGAGTAGCAATGACTAAATCAATGTTTCGCTCCAGAAATTTTCTATCCAGTTATTAGGTGATGAAAATCTGCTTGACCTCTGAATCATGGAAGTAGACGTGGATCTTAGGAACTGAGCCTGAGGTTGAATTCAGTGAATTAGCTCCATGTTAATGGAACCTCTGTAAATAGGTATCATGAGACAGCACAAGATGCATTTCAGTGGATGTGATCACTCAAACATGCTGATGATCACCTTTGCTGAATAAGCTGCTGTTCCACTGCATGGAGCTTCCATGGCTATTCAAACTAGCCAAGCATTCTGAATGCTCATTTGTAACACAGCAGACTAAAACTTCTTTTAGTCTAATGTCACTGAAGCTAGAACACTGCAATACAAATTAACTCTGCTCATTATTTTCATATGTCCTAACAACAAGCAGCCAAACAGCTAAGCTGTGTAATAGGCCCACAGAGAACTGTAAGAACCGAGGCCTTCAAATTAAAGATATTGTTTTCTGCCAACTCCAGGCACTGGAAAACACAGATGGGACTTGTAAAAACATAAAGCAAATACTGGAAAATGCGTAGCCATGTGAAACAGCTCATACCACAAGCTAGGTGCATAGAGTGGCTTTTGAACACCAAGTATTACCTTCTGCCTAACCCAGCTCACCAGTGCTTCTCCCTTCTGAGGCAGCACTTCTTCCTAGAAGAGAAACTTCTCTGAGCCCACAAGAAATGATTTGTATTCACCTTATGAGTACAGAGATGTCCCAAAGTGAACGCAGTCTGTACTTCTACCTTCTCTGCCAAGGCAGTACATGCATGCATTAATAGAAACAAGTAACAGAACTCAACTGCAATTTTATCACCTTTTGAGGAAGGAAGCAATCTCTTTCCTGACTAAGTATGAGGTTAGCCATTTGTTCTTTCCAGTGTCCCTCATCCCCACAATCTGCAGAAGAACAAAATCTGTCCAAAAGCATTTGATTTCAGATTACCTAAGCGTTTGTAGTTAATTCTGCCTGTTATAGTGCTCATGTATTTCTCTGCAATTTTTAAGCTGCTGTTTGTTTCGCTTTCTGGTTATTAGGCATAATTGTGTAAAAATGTAGGAAAACAAATCATTAAAACTTCAGTGCCTCTGGGGTTTTCAGTCCTACTTCCTTCAAACATTTTTCTTAGGTTTTATTTTACCTCCCTCTGTGAAAGTCTGCTGTTATATTTCATTTTCACTCCTTTCTTTCTCACATTCCAATTGAAGGCTTTATATATAAGAATATGGAAAGATCATTTGCTTTTTGCACTTCGTTACAAAACTCATTTCCTCACAAAAGTTAGGGTTAACAATTCAAGTGTTTGTTAATGTGTCAAAGTGTCAGTTGAAGTGACAATACCCTTCAAATTCCAATCAGTCATTGGAACACATACCCAGTTTGACATCAACCTAAAGCAGAGACCGCAAGGAAAGAATAATTTGTGATTTAAATGAAAAATGTAGGCAAAGATCGTAATGAGGTTAGCAAAAACAGATGCTGAGGACAGGGCAAATTAGCAGTGATGGTGTTTAGTCTGCATAAGGTATTCCAGCTGTGCCAATTAATCAAGCAGGTAATTCTCAGTATAAAAGTCTGCTTTAGTTAATTTTATATTTTTGCTTTCTGGTTTTGGGGGATGGTGAGCTGCTTAGATCAGAGGCTCTTGTTAGTATAACAAATGGCTATTTTAGAGCAAGACAATCAAATGAAGGTAATCAATTGTTTGAGACTTGGCAAGATAACTTGGGGTATATTAAGCTTTACACAGTAGAGTAACTCAGGTTTTTCTAGCAATACTTTTAGTAACAGGAACAGCACTCTTTTCTTGGAATGCCAGGAATAAAGCGCTGGTTTACCTTTTGTGGCAATTACTTCAAAATGGGCAGCTACAGCTATTCTTGAGAAAACAGCTCTGAACATAGCAGCCATATTTTAGTTTCTGGGAACACCTCTTGAGCTGGATGTTTGCTGTCAAACTAAGCGTGGCTCTATTCTAAGTGATGAGTAAGCAGCAGACGTAAATGTTAGCACTTGCTCAGTTGTTCCTGGAAGAAATGGCCTTTTTAGAAAGGTAAAAAAAAAGTTTGCTTGACCTGAAAATAAAAAGCTCAATTATCTAATGTTGAGACAGGTGTTGCAAATGTTGTCACCAAAAAGTCATGACAAAAATGGTATTATTA